ACCATGACCACACTGTATGTCATATTCGACCCCTTCCACAATACTCATCAAGCCTTTTCTCTGCCTTTGTGTCGGTCTGTCTCGCTCTTCTTTTCCCCTGTCGAATATTTTTCACTTTAATGTTCCTCCCTGCTGTGAAGCCCGAAGTCAACTAAAGGGCTAATGATAACTATCAAAATGCCTGCCATTTGAAATAAATAAATGTTGATGCGGAGGAGTTCAGCGCCAATCTCTTTCCAAAGGATCACTAGCATATGCATAAACTCCTCGGAATAGTCTTGATTTCAACCACACCTCTATAATGCATGATATTCATCAGAACTTGCTAAATCCTCAATCACTTCTATTTTCTAACTAACTTATATTCATGCAATAAAACGAACACATTCAACCTATGAATGAGACAGTCAGATGAAGGAGTCATTATCCAAATAATATTATATTATATATAATATTATTATTCAAATAATAACAATAATAATAAGAAGACGACGACGACAACGAAGGAGAATAATAAGAGGAAGTGATATGCTGTTAGTACAGATTGATTAACGCGCGCGCTCGCACGTTTGCGCACGAGTAAATTGTCCTGCTTGATGATCGATATTGTCATGGAATTTTCGCTTCCAACACAAAAACTGCTGCTAATTTTCACTTTCGCTAAATTTCTGCAATGGGCAACTGTGCATCAACCACGCATCGGTTCTTTCGGCTTACTCGACATAGGCTCGTCAGAAAAGACTCGCCTATGAGGGTAGACGAAGCTGTGGAAGCAGGAGAAGAGACTAGAAATAACACAGGCCATGAAGGGGTTGGGGGAAGCGACTATGAGTGAGAATCCAGTGAAAGAGGAGGTAGAAGACGAGATCGAGAGTAGAGTAGACATCATCACTGACATCGACGCCGACAGCGAATGCTCGTCTACCTTGGGAGAATTTCCATCGCTCGAAAACCTGTGTGAGGGGGATGAAGAGTTGGAGCAGATCAAGAATAGCATAGAACCGGAGAATACGAGTGAGAAGGCAGTGCAGAAGAAAGTAGAAGATGAGATAGAGATTGAGAGAAGAGAATATGAATATGAACACGAATATGAAGATAGCGAGTGCTCATCTAGTTTAAGGGAATTTCTCATGCTTGAAAGACTCTGTGAAGAGTATGAAGAGGCGAAGCAGAGGACGAGAGAGAGAAGAGACCAAGAGAAGTTAGAAGGCAATTTAAGAGGTTTCGAGGTGACCAGTTGAGCACAATAGAAGAAGAGGAGGATGAGGAGGACAGTAGCGTTAGAGAAATAGGAGGGGAAGGTGAACACCCAGATGACCTTCATAGAGAAGAAGGTAAGGAAGTGGCTTCCGGAGACGGCGACCACACACAAGGGGAGAAGTTGATGTCATTGGAAGAGTTCTGTGGGGAGACTTTTGCAATCTCTACAACCTTTATCGAGGACATCATGGAGGAGAGCAGAATCTCACAGAGGAGGATTGAACAAGCACACGAGTAGCCAAGCTGAATATGACTAAGCTGTTTATATTTACGCTTTTCTTGTCACTTCGTGCGTGAATAGACGTGTTCTAGATACTACGTGAGTTTTAATTCTACCACTTGTGGTAACATTCCGGGAGATCAACACAATAAGAGATTTCTGAGTTAGTCGGGCTTTATTAGTGTAGCAATCCGCTACAACTCATCTCATCTTTCGGTTTCTTCTCGATTGTCCTCTTCTCCGTCTCCTCCTTCCCTTCAATCCAGAAAATGATAAAAAAATGACAAAATATAAAAAACAAAAATTATAAACCTACGAGAAAAATAAACGACAAGAAATCCTTTGTTCCATATTTATTATCAACGTTCGGTCTCGTAATTCTAACTCCAACTTTTCCTTCCCTTTCACCAACATGTACTAGAGAATTGGATTTCGAATCCTAACAGTTGAGAGCTACTTTCATCAAATGCTCCCCAGCAATAACCATTCTAATTCTGACATATCCCCTCCTCAGGTAAATCACACATTTTCATAGGTCTTATATATATACCCCAGTTTTGCCATCTTTTTTCCTGCTGATTTACCAGATATTTCACCCCCTTCTAGTGATCAATTTTATTCTCAAATTTATCTTCCCCATAGCTTATGCTTAAGGATTATGTGATTAACTAGTCCCACTCTGTTTGCTTCATCACCATTTGAAATTTTCTAGCCATTATTAGAGATATATTCCTGCTATATGCTTATGCTCCTATAGCCTTTTTCCCTAAGTAACCTCACTCCCAAACAGCAAACACTTTTCGGGCTGGCACAATTTACCATATTCCTCGACGAATCTTCCACTCGTAGGAAGCCTTATTGTAGCCTATACTGTGATAGTACGAAGGACACCGACTAGGATGGACTTAAAGGATAAGAGAGTAGAAGCCACTAAGCGCTCTCGAATGGGCGAAGCTAGGCCACAGGCATGGGGTAGGTGTCATGCGTGGGGGATGATGGCCATAGTAGTGCAGAGGTTATAAGACCACAGCAACAAAAGAGCGCCTGCTGTGTGTGGGGGGTGGAGGCACGAGTAGGCACGAGCGTGCTTCAAGTGCGTGCCCAAATTCTTCATATGGGCAGTGCCTGCGCCTCCCTACCCAGGAAACTCCAACCCTCAACTCCACGCGGTCCTGGATGATAACGTCAGCCTCCTGCATTCTCGCCGCCTTCTCAATTAAGTTCTGCCAACAGGACCAGGAAAGAGACCCGAGGTGGTGAGCAGGAGACTGGCGGCGAACGAGGGCTCTGAGCAGAATTAGCTAGCTAACCAACCAGACAACCTACTAGACAGCTTCACTTCTTCAACTCTACTTCATAAATATAATGTGGGAATGGAATAGTGACAATATCCATAATCATAGTTCACAGAGTACTAAATAAGACCAATTCATCGCTCAAGTGTCCAATGAGGTAATAGGTCCTTCCTACTAGTCATCCTATCCTCCACCCACCTCCAGAGTATTCTAAATTTAAACCAACATCCTCACTCTAATAACAAAAGTTGTATTTGTGTAGCTACAGCTTGATTATTTCAACGCATGGCAGGAAGCAAATGCTCAGATCAATATTTCAACAATATTTGATTATTCTGACTAGAAAACCGATCGATTTTACATTTTAACCGTTACAGTAATAGTGAAGCACTTGCATTGGCTTGTTGCGTTCTCCATGGTTAACAACGGGATTATTCCATGTAATTGATCTCCCTCCCACCCCCACCCCCACCCCCCCCCACAATCTCAAAGGCAATTAACCCTTATCTCCGCAGTGCACATAACCAAAAGGCATCTATTCAACATTCGCATTGAAAATGGCCTTATGGAGTACGCCAACCACTTATGAATTCTGTAAATAATGAACTGTAAATTAAAATTAACACAAATATTAGTACTATTAAAAAGTCTTGTAGTCTAGTGTAGATGTAAAACCTATTATATGGTCTATGTACCGAAACAAAAACGAATAATTTACACATCCCTCCTATATTAATGAAAAGAAATATTAGAGAGTATCATCTTATCCCGAAAATATAACAACAAATCAATCTAGTAATTGAAGATTTAATTACTGAGAAACCACAAATATAAAAAGAATGTCTAATAAGAGAAATGATATTAATATAAATAGTACATACCTAATAAAGCACACTATGCCATAATATAATACAAGAATTTCGTGTTAATCATAAACATTTAAAGTTACCGTATCACGATTTACCGCCCCAGATACCGAGGAGGACGGGCTGTGTGCAACCGAGCTAAACTTTCTTCACATAAACAAAACCAATTTCTATTATTTTCAAATCATAAATAATTAATTCCACAAAAATTAATATTATTAATAAGGCACATAAAAACCAGTGCAAAAAGTACTTAGACTTAGCTTAAATAGTTATAATGCAAATATTAACCAACTAAAGAAATAATACCAAACCAGATATACATCAACATAAAGCAAGAAATTTGTTTGGTAGATCGTCCTTTACTAAACACATTCTTCTCAATGGAATCGATTGCTGCCAAAGTATTTTAATTATAAAAGTAATACTAACTAAAATATTGAATTGTTGAGCTATCAAATCCCTTTTATTAATAATATGTTTTACTTGAATAATATAAAATTTAAAAACCAAAATTTACTTATTTTAAGCATAAATACAAATTAATAGTTCATAAGATAGCAAAGAGTACAGATTAACCCCGTAAGTTGGCACTGTGTTTCTTGCTAAACTTAGACTTTAACATACTCCATACTTAAAAGAACGAATTATGATCCTTTCATACTATCAAATTCGCACAATAGTTATAAACCGAGCTGGCTTTCGTCGGTTTTAACTCATGTAGGTAATTAAGGTCAAACTGACATAAATTGAAAATTACTGCGTTTTAGCATTTCTAACCAAATCGATATCGAGGCGGCAACCACTTAATTCCATATGATCTCGTATTTATTAGAACTCTATTATCTTCAGGGTAACTTAACCCAATGTTAATGAAACATTGATAACCTCCCCAAGCGATAATTAAAAGATTCCACATCCTTCGCGTCTAATTAATATTCGAGGATTCTGTCGCCTCAAAATTAATTCCAAATATGTATTTAGTATTCATACTCACCACGTTAATCTATTCATAAAGCTTCAATTGTAATGCAAGTATTTATGCTACCTTCGCACAGGCAATTTACTGCTATTGTTTGCAGCAAGCTTGGGTCCACATTAATTCAAATTTGGAAATGATTTTAATAAACAGACGGATAAAACTTGAGATAATGCATTATATTTATATTGAGCACTTGATTATTATTAAATGCCAAATATTTAATAGATTATCATAAAACTTAACTATGTATATAACAAACTTACTATAATAAGGTATGTTTCACTTTATTGTGAGCATTTTTATTACATAAGTGCAAACTCATTCAAAATATCATAACTTTAATTGTTAAACAAAATAATGATCAAACGGGCATGAATTCCAGTGTTTAATTTTTCAATTCATATAATCATTATGACATGTCACAGGACCCATTCGAATTAAGCTACTTATATATGGGGAATATCCATAAATCCAACTGTCTTATTGTTTCTTACTATTGATTCTTATAAAATAAGTTCAAAGAATCATGCTCTAAATGCTGTCATAAATGAATCTACAGATCAAATTGAATTAACTCATTTACAGTCAACCTAATGGATGCACACACGACGAGTTAAACCACACAAACTAAAATAATCTTTTCTTTATATCTAAACCAGCAGTAAACACATGATGGCCTCAAACTCCACATCTTAAACACACAATGGAAAACTTAGCAAAAATTAAGTCATAAAACCCAAAATCATCTGGTGTTAATCTATAGAAGGAATCAGTAATCAAGAACTTAAAGCTATCAAACAGGGTAAAATAAGATCGGATAAAAGATTTATCAGGTTTAAAGAACCCATTTTAAAATTAACTGTTGCAACACTGAGTTGATAGCATTCAACTAATTTTCAAGGTTACTTTTTCTGTAGCATCGCTTTATTTACGATTTTACAAATAATCAATACTAAAGTCCGTAATCCTAATCATATTTAAATCCCACTTCTTGATGCATTGTCACAATGTTTTACATTGACCAGATATCCTCCGACACATCTTTACTTAGAAAATGCTATGGAATACAGATAGATGATCGCGTTTCTATGACAACTGAATCATTATGAAATGATTTAAATAAATTTGGATGAGGGAGAAAAAGTGAGGGGGATGGGAATTGAAGACTAAGGCACAACTAACAAGCGTTTGGCCTGAAAAGGAAAATCTTACGAAGACAAATCCTTTGACCCATAATTGAATAGATGGGCAAAATGTACGTTTAGCTCAATATTAAAGGTTGAAACCAACAATGTATTTGTCAATTCAAGTGCAAGTGAAGAATGAGTTTACTGGGCATAACAAACGATTTCAATAAGAAATTAGGATTTAAAAAGGCTTTTAAGTATTCGCTGCGTTTGTAGTATTCAGGTTCTCTTGAGGCCCAACCACTTGCCTTGTCAACTTTTGACTGATTGACTGCCATCTGCTATCAAGCGTATTCAGCTTGTCTCTCCACGCAGCTCAACATGATCTAATAAAGACGTGTTCTCTCTGATTTCCGAGGTATTGACACGATACTTCCAATTCTTTATGACACTGGTACTCTTTTGGTATAAATATATGCACTAAATCCGCA